ACCAGATGGAGGAATGCAGCCTGATAATGACTTAGAAACTAAAACTCTTAAAACAACTGAAAGCTAAGAACAATTCAATATTCAAGTGTTGGGGTTTCTTGTACAAGTTTGTATGTTCCTTAAAACTGGACATCACATGCCACCTTGAGAGACATGGCACTTAAAAAAAAAAGTTTCAGAGTGCAGATCTTCTAAGCTTATCAGAAATTCAGATGCAATCTCCAGCATCTGAAATATGTATGATGTTTCTGGTGAGTGCAAGCCAGCCCGGTCACAAGAGGTAATGATTTTGTAACTCAACCGAGTTGCACAAATGAATTACTTATACAGTCAAGAAATATGGGAACAGGATGATCTGATGAAGTGGTGCTGGTGGGGAAAAGCAATTGCTCCACCACTAAGCCTCAGCAAGCATAATGCTCGGCTGAGAAGTTCCCAAAGGCTTCTTCCGTGCAAGCATAATAAAAGTCACTCAGTCACAACGCTGCCGGTCAAGGGGTTGGAGGCTAGATGGGTTTTCTCTGAGTCGCTGCCTGTGAATGCAACTGTTTTGGAGAAACTCGCCCAATCAGTTCCAATTTACGAGATATAATACAGGGTTGCTGTTTCTGGAGGAGCAGAAAGAAAGTTTTGGCTAACAGAGGGACTTGGTAGCACATGAGCAACTGCAGCAGGGATGATGGAAGTCACCCTTCCAGCCGGAGTTGGGACGCCGACCAGTCCACTGACCGCCAGTTATCTATTGTGAAACATTCTACGAAGTATTAAGAAAGTCCTTGTGTAAGTAAGCAGGCTTCCTTTTGCATTGATTACAGCATGGGGTCATCTGATAGCAGTGGCAAGGGGTGAGGGCCCTTTGCTCCTGGGCCATGCAGGAGGCACACAAACACAGGGCTGTGTACACATACGCTGTCAACCACATTTAGGAGCAAAGGAAGGGCAGGATCTGCCCTCTTGATCCTTTCCCCTTCCTCACTTAAGCCACACTCCCTAGCTTTTCCTTGTGGCCATTTTCTTAACTGCTAGCATCACTCACATGAAACCTCGTGAAGCAAGCACACACACAAGCACACAAAAACATCAACTTAGTGGCACGGGTCTAGAGATGCAACAAGACCTCCACCCTCTCGGCCTCGCTGATGTGGTCCAAAAGAAAGCGGAGCAATACGTTTGGCACCAGCTTGGCTGCAGGAGCTGCTGGAAGGACGCGTACGAGGCGCCATCTAACCGCCTTAGGGACTCCACCCCGTTTTTGTGTAGGATTTACTCCTTAACCTTTTCTTGGATGGGCTTCCATCTACCTTGGCAGATTGATAGGCCCCATCTGCCCTTCACTTCCCTCTACAGCAAGTGCAGAAACCACATTCTTGACCATCGGCCTTCTCCACTCAACCCACCAGAGCCTATCTTCTCATGTAGGGGAAGTCCCTAACTCACCAAGGTTTTGAGATCCATTGGCTGCGCTCACCTGGTTTAGTCAGCCAGACGAAGCAGTTCCCAGGGTGTGGCCACTGTCACATGCTGACATCCTCTAGGAGCCACAGGTGAGAGCTGAGTGCAGGATGAGGACCAAAGGTGAACTAACTACTGCAGTACGAGCACAATGTGCCTCCCACCAAAGCTACTACCCCTCCCCCTGGCAGAAATGACCAGCAGAATCCGAGACCAGGGAGAAGAGTCGGTGGAAGAAGATTGGAAGAAATTTAAAGACTATCTACAGAAATATTGTAAAATTAATGAATGTTAGAATGATGTTGGATAAGAAGTTAAGTGGTTTTTAGCTACAATGCTATGAGGAATATGAAAAAATGGATTATTAACAGGTAAAAATTTAATGTTACAATATTTTAAGATTAAAGACTAGGCTAAACAAAGAGGGAAAGGATTTGCTGAACTAACAAATTGAATTGGAATACAAAAAAGGGAGGTGTGAGGAGGTCTGGGAAACAAGCAAATGAAAGATAAGTAATGGAAAGATGGAATTGTTTTTAACTCTTTTTATTTTGTATTTTTCTTTTTTCTTTTTTCATTTTGTAATACTTTGAAAATCTTAATAAATATCTTTAAAAAAAACAACAAAGCTACTACCCCTCCCCTAAGACCCCATATATTATTAATATTATTTTATTATTAAAAATAGTTTATTATAAAATGTAACCTATATATTAGAGTCATACCTCAGGTTGAAGTAGCTTCGGGATAAGTATTTTCGGGTTGCGCACTGTGGCAACCTGGAAATAATGAAGCGCGTTACTTCTGGGTTTCGCCGCTCGCGCATGCGCAGATGGTCAAAATTATGTCATGTGCATGTGCAGAAGCGGCAAATCATGACCCGCGACGCGCAGACACGGGTTGCGTTCGCTTCTGGATGTGAACCGGCCTCCAGAATGGATCCCTTTCACATCCAGAGGTACCACTGTATTAGTAATAATTTTACTAGTTGCCATATTTATTAGTCACGTATGTGCAAAAATAACAAAGCAAAAACATGTAGAAGCAGCAATGCACAGAAACGAAAATGCTCACCTGACAACATATTTAAAGGGAACAAGTCCTACCCACCCACCCACCCCACTTAAAAGATGAGCACAACAAAGGCACAGACAGACAGCAACGGCACCGGGGGGCTTCCCTTATATTGCAACACTCATGTGCAGGCTCTGGGATGTGCAAAGAAGGGCCGTGGAATCTTCATCTTATAGTTAATGGCATCTGGTGCCCTGGGAACTCCAGAATCCCAGGTTTCCTTACACCCGCAATACTGCCATTGCACCACTGAAGGAACTGAGCAGGAGGTGATGCCATGACAAGAGGCCTTCAACGAGGCCTCCTTGCTGATGCTGCCAAGAATGTATGTAAAGAGAGGGGTGGCAGTTGCAAGGAGGAATTGAGATCTAGTTGCACTAGGGCAGAACCCATGGAGCTCTGCTGCCTAGTAGGTGGAGGCTAAAATGACTCCTAAATAATCCTGGCACCACATTCCTCTTTGTGACACCAGATCTGAATGTGATTACAAGGCTCTTTTGCAAGCCGCCATGAGAAGCTTTCGCAGCATAAAGCAGCGTATAAGTACTCGGAGCCTGCAATTGCTCCTTCGCGCTCTGAGCTAGAAATTATAATTCAGTGACAATTTCCCTTCTAGGAACGCCTTCCGCCCAAGGAAGAATCCACCCATCAGATATCCCAATCACGTTGTGGAGGTTTCCGAGACATTTCTGATGATGCAGAAGAAGAAAAATCCAGCCCTCACATGGCATGCCAGCCACGTCAACTGGGCCTCCTAACTGCACCTTGTGAGCTGGGAGTTCATCCTGGGACTCCCCCTGGAGCTCTGCGTGAGACAAGAAGGTTCAGTCCTGGTAGTCAAGCTGCCTTTCAGGGAATCTTCTGGAGGGTTTCCTAGAGCTGCCAGTATCAACCCCCCTGGAGTGGGTTGGACTGTGCAGGAGATGAACAAAGTCCTAGGGGAAAGGACTGAGGAGGGGGGAATACGTTTGTGAGGTATAGTGGGATGAATTCAATTAACCTCAGAAATAAAGGACATGGGGGCAAGGTATACAGAGAGTGTGCCTTACGATGGCAAGGCGGAACATCTGCATTTAGTAAGATATATTTTACATTTTTAGGGGACGCGGGTGGCGCTGTGGGTAAAAGCCTCAGTGCCTAGGGCTTGCCGATCGAAAGGTCGGCGGTTCGAATCCCCGCGGCGGGGTGCGCTCCCGTTGCTCGGTCCCAGCGCCTGCCAACCTAGCAGTTCGAAAGCACCCCCGGGTGCAAGTAGATAAATAGGGACCGCTTACTGGCGGGAAGGTAAACGGCGTTTCTGGGTGCTGCGCTGGCTCGCCAGATGCAGCTTTGTCATGCTGGCCACATGACCCGGAAGTGTCTCCGGACAGCGCTGGCCTCCGGCCTCTTAAGTGAGATGGGCGCACAAACCTAGAGTCGGACACGACTGGCCCGTACGGGCAGGGGTACCTTTACCTTTACCTTTATTTTACATTTTATGAGTGCTAGCAATAAGGATGGATGGCTAACAAATGTTGGTCGTATACTGGTATTTCCTGACTTTATTTCATTTGCATTCCGAAGAATCTGGGTCGGGGTCCACAGCAACTATGTAAGCTCATCGAGGGCTCAATAAACTCAGGAGTGTGGAGAAACCCTGGCCTGTCTTCTCACAGGGGATCCCCTAAGAAGCTTACACGGAAACCTGGAGTTCCCTGGAGCACACTGTGAGAGCAAGCTGAATTAGGCCATAAGGGATTTTAATAGGCTGCAGCCTTACATGCTCCTTGTGCCCAATCCGAAAACCTGGGAACAGACACTGTAAGCATTTTCCAACAATATAGTTCCATGATTAAAGCAAAGGTCTCTTTAGGATTGCAACATATCCTGGGTTGTGAAACTGGAGCAATTTGTTAAGAGTGACAAAATGAAAACAGCTTACCTAATCCTTCTTTAAAAGATCCTATCAAAACGAGAATATAGCATAAGTGTAAAATAAAAAAAAAGCTCGACTTCAAACATAAAAAAGGGATGTGAAGCAAGATTTGCATTACATATGCATGCAAATAAGCCCAGCACCGTGAGAGAGACTCAAGAAGGGGGGTGGGGTGGAATCACTGCTTATTACCTACTGCGTTATGTTTTGCTGCATGGAGTGAAAACTTTCATTCAGTCCTACGGAAGAAATGCAAATCACAGACTGCTCCCCAATTGCTGCCTTTTGTACTTTAAACAATTCGCTAGCAGATTAAAAAGGGAAAAGAAATCTGGTCTTCTGCAGAATGCATTTTAAGTTTACCTATTAATTCAAACTAAGCATATCGCATAAATCTCTGGCACACTTTATAAACGGGTGAGAGGAACGAAGAAACAGGGAACAGTGTTTCACAGTGAGAGGTTCTAGGTTCACAGTGAGAGACAGAGCTAAGAGAAGGGGATCAGCTGTTTGTACCTTCTCAGAACTCTCCAAGTATGGTGATAAAGAATAGACTTACACTGAGCCTTCATTTGCCTGAGTTGCTCCTTAAAGTGGACATATTTCTCATTTCCCTGCAAGTCAAGGTCACTGTTTCTGCTCTCCAAGGCTTCAAACTTCTCTTCAACTACATTTTTCAAATCCGGCAGTGTTTCTGGCTTGTCTCGCTTGAGCTGTAGAAAAACAGAGATAAAATAAACAATTAGATTAATAAATAAATAGCCGTAATCTTGTGACTCGCCAGAGCACATCATGCTTCTCGTCCCATTTTAAAGAGAAGAGGGAGCAGCTATACTTGAAGTATTGGTAAAGTTATGAGACTTTCCCCTGTATTCAGCTCCATCAAACTGCTATTAAACTCTGGGACTGAAAGCGGGCAGAAGTGGTTATTTATATATTCTGCAGTTGTCATTAAAATCTGGTTACTGCATTACGGTTATGGACCGGCTCCTGATCAGAATGAAAACTCTGGAAAGACAGTAAAATTTAGCTACACACAGAACGGTGGCATATAAAGGTGTTAAGAGACCCGCTTAGCACACCTTAAGGCTATTAAAGGTGAAACAGAGAACAGAACATATCAGAATATGTCACCAGAAATGAAATATTCTCAATAGTAATTTATAAACTGGGTGCACAACAGCACATTAAAGGTAAAGGGACCCCTAACCATTAGGTCCAGTCGTTGCCGACTCACTCTGGGGTTGCGGCGCTCATCTCACTTTATTGGCCGGCGTACAGCTACCAGGTCATGTGGCCAGCATGACTAAGCCGCTTCTGGCGAACCAGAGCAGCGCACGGAAACGCCGTTTACCTTCCCGCTGGAGCGGTACCTATTTATCTACTTGCACTTTGACGTGCTTTCGAACTGCTAGGTTGGCAGGAGCAGGGACCGAGCAACGGGAGCTCACCCCATTGCGGGGATTCGAACCGCCGACCTTCTGATCGGCTCAGTGGTTTAACCCACAGCACCACCCGCATCCCTTCAACAGCACATTACATTGCCACAAAAAGCACTTGAAGTGTTGCTTGGGGGGGAAAGGAAAGCCAATGTATTGGATGAATCCACCATGTTCAGCCTTCATCAATCTGGTTCCCCTCATGGGTTGATGCACTACTAATTCCCATCATTTCCAGTCAGCAAGGTCAATGGGAAAGGCTGGGCCACCCCCTCAGAGCAGAGAGGTCCAGTGTGGTCCTAACTCTTTCTCTCTATGCCAGCATTTGGGCAGGGACTTGTCGGACATGAGTGAGTAAAAAGGATGGCCTGATTCAGCAGGTATACATTTGCAGGTATAGGAGCATCCCAAAAGCACCATCTCTGGAAAGCACAATCACATCCCTGAGTCCTTAACTGACTAGATGAGATGGCAAAGATCTTAGCAAAGATATCCTGAAGTTTCAAGGGTGCTGCACACTGTTCCAGGGAACATCAAAGGGACTGTCTTTCTAGCTACAGAGTGAGCTTAAAAACTTTAAGTAAAAAAAACACACCAGAAATCTAGCTCTGTCAGTATAAGACTGACACAAGCATTTTCAGAAGCATATTCTAGAGTGCACCTTGAATGAATGTGGAGCAGTCCCAGGGCTTTTGGGACCTCCTAGGAACATTTGTCTGTGGCTACACAACACAGAAGCAACTTAAAAAGCAGAGACATCACCTTGCCAACAAAGGTCCGTATAGTTAAAGCTATGGTTTTCCCAGTAGTGATGCATGGAAGTGAGAGCTGGACCACAAAGAAGGCTGATCGCCGAAGAATTGATGCTTTTGAATTATGGTGTTGGAGGAGACTCTTGAGAGTCCCATGGACTGCAAGAAGATCAAACCTATCCATTCTGAAGGAAATCAGCCCTGAGTGCTCACTGGAAGGACAGATCGTGAAGCTGAGGCTCCAAGACTTTGGCCACCTCATGAGAAGATACGACTCCCTGGAAAAGACCCTGATGTTGGGAAGGAGAAGGGGGCGACAGAGGACGAGATGGTTGGACAGTGTTCTCGAAGCTACCAGCATGAGTTTGACCGAACTGTGGGAGGCAGGAGTGCCTGGCGTGCTCTGGTCCATGGGGTCACGAAGAGTCAGACACAACTAAACGATTAAACAACAACAACACAACACAGGGGAAGATTAGTAGGAATGGAGACACTTTTGGGGGAAGCATGTTGAAAAGTACTAATCTTTTTACCGGAGGAATCCCTATGAAGTGTCTGAGGAACAATCAGATTCCCTGGAAATACAATTTGAAAAGCAGTGTTCAAAAGCACTATGCAAATACTTCTGGAGCTATACAGAGGCTTGAAGGTTTCTCTAAAAACTCACCTATCCAGCCAAGATCTCCAGGTTCCCTGTCTATATGCTCCATACACAATTTTTACTGAATTTTTATTATTAATTAAATTTCTATATCGCCCTTCATCCAAAGATCAGAGTTTAGAAGTCCAGGGAAAAGAGGAATGTTATTGCCTGGCGCCTAAAGGTATGCAATAAAGGAGCCAGGTGAACCTCCGTGGGGAGAGCATTCCACAAGCGGGGAGCCACCACAGAAAAGGCCCCGTTCTTGTGTTGCCACCCTCCGGGCCTCAAGGAGGGGGCACACGAAGAAGGGCCTCCGATGATGATTGCAGGGTGCAGGTTGGTTCATATGGGGAGAAGTGGTCCATGAAATATTACGTTCTTGAGCGGTTTAAGGCTTTATGGGTCAAAACCAGCACTTCTGAGTTAGGCCTAGAAACTAATTGGCAGCCAGTGAAGTTGGACCAGGATTGGCGCTATATTAGTCAACTAAAATTCCTTTCCCTGGCTGGCAACCCTAGCTAGTGTTAGCAGGATGTCATTTCTCAAAACATAACCAGAGAGAAACTGATCCTGTGTGCAGACTTTCTGTGGGCTTCTGGTTGGCAACTGTGAGAATTGATGGGCCTTTGCTCTGATCCAGCAAAGCTTTCCTTAGGTTTGTATGCAGGTAAAGTTCATCTGTCAAAACGAATTTCTAAGGCCCTCCTCTCTGCTCCAATTTCAGATACACATTGCTTTACGTGTGACACACATGCACACCCTCCATAAATCTCCAGAGAGCAACCCATCATTTCTAAAACAATGACACCACTTTGGCCAAATTACCTCTGCAACCATGGGTGCTCCCGGTCCATAACCTAGGCAGTTATTATCATGATCACACTACAAGGTCATGTCAAAGGGAGGCGTTGGAATTCTCACCTGCCAAGGTTGGGCATCACACCTGGAATACTGCACAGGTACAAAGGAACTCTCCAAAATGAGATATACAGTGGTACCTCGGGTTACATACGCTTCAGGTTACATACGCTTCAGGTTACATACACTTCAGGTTACAGACTCCACTAACCCAGAAATAGTACCTCGGGTTAAGAACTTTGCTTCAGGATGAGAACAGAAATCGTGCAGCGGCGGTGTGGCAGCAGCAGGAGGCCTCATGAGCTAAAGTGGTGCTTCAGGTTACGGACAGTTTCAGGTTAAGAACAGACCTCCAGAACGAATTGATATCTTAACTCGAGGTACCACTGTACTATCAGGAGCTCAGACAAACAGTCTCCTGTTGGCAAGCAGTAGCCTGGACCTCTTTCACAAGCCTAGCCGCAAGTATTTTAATGGCTATGTAGTAATGAAAGACTAGGAATCTGAAGGTACATCTCTGTGGAAGGAGTTTTATGCAAACATTCGATGGGACTGAGTATTACACAACTGTTGAGATCTGAAACGGTGCAGGAGCTAAGTGTCTATGTTGGCATATGGATGAAATTTCACCTCTGGCAAGAAGTCACTCAGTAACCTTAGGCAAGCCAAGACTAAATCTCTCAGACTGGAACCTGCAATATGGAGGGAATAATGGTGAGGTACTTTATAGGGCTAACATTAGGATAATCAAGAAAGGTGTATATGAAACACTTTGAGCATGGTAAGACTGTATAAGCTGGGGTTCTATCCAGTGGTGGCTTTACACGAGGGGAAAGCACTTCCACCACAAAGCTGGGTACTTTGTTGTTGTTGTTTAGTTGTTTAGTCATGTCCGACTCTTCGTGACGCCATGGACCAGAGCACGCCAGGCACTCCTGTCTTCCACTGCCTCCCACAGTTTGGTCAAACTCATGCTGGTAGCTTCGAGAACACTGTCCAACCATCTCGTCCTCTGTCGTCCCCTTCTCCTTGTGCCCTCCATCTTTCCCAACACCAGGGTCTTTTCTAGGGAGTCTTCTCTTCTCATGAGGTGGCCAAAGTCTTGGAGCCTCAGCTTCAGGATCTGTCCTTCCAGTGAGCACTCAGGGCTGATTTCCTTCAGAATGGATAGGTTTGATCTTCTTGCAGTCCATGGGACTCTCAAGAGTCTCCTCCAGCACCATAATTCAAAAGCATCAATTCTTCGGCCATCAGCCTTCTTTATGGTCCAGCTCTCACTTCCATACATCACTACTGGGAAAACCATAGCTTTAACTATACGGACCTTTGTTCACAAGGGGATGTCTCTGCTTTTTAAGATGCTGAAGCTGGGTACCTATGAACTGCCAATTTCCCTATCCACTGCAGCTCTGTGAGTCATCCCCCATATTGTTCAGGAATGTCCTCCATCAGGATCAGCTTTCGAGAGAGCACAGAGTCTGCCCCGCACAGGGGGAATTGATGAAAACCAGATGCTCTGCTTTATGTAAATAAGAACTATTCTATTGGTACAAGGCTGCCAATAAAGACAACCCCTTATTTATTATTCCTGAATACAGTGGTGCCTTGAAGGCATTCGGGGCCAACAAGGAAGTAAGGTAGGAGTCCTTACACTGCCCCTCCAGAGACTACAAACAGCGATATTCAAACATGACTGTAAACCACCTTTCTATGGCTGGATCTACACCGATTGCAAAAACGCTTTTTAAAAGTTATTTGGCTCTCAATGCAACTTTACATCGGCGGGTTGCTACAGCGCTCTCCACTGTCACATGTTTTTAATGCATTTTTAACGCTTTAACTCACCAGTGTACATTATTCCTGTGTAAAGCGCTCTGAGTGGGACGCGGGTGGCGCTGTGGGTTAAACCACAGAGCCTAGTTGTTGCTAATCAGAAGGTTGGTGGTTCGAATCCCCGCAACGGGGTGAGTTCCTGTTGCTCAGTCCCTGCTCCTGCCAACCTAGCAGTTCGAAAGCTTGTC